CATGATAGCATGCATCTGTAATCTCAGCACTCTAAAGGCAAGATGAGAAGCAGTAAGTGACAGGCGTATCCCTGAAAGCTTATTGGCCAGCTATTCTGGAATACACAGTGGCAAACAAGAGACCCTGTCTCAAACAAGGTAGAAACCTGGGATCAACACCCAAGGCTGTTTTTTGTGGGGTTTGTTTTGTTTTGTTTTTTGTTTTTTGTTTTGTTTTGTTTTTGATCTCCACATGCATTCTGTGGCATGTACTAACATACACACACATACACACACACACACACACACACACACACACACACACCCTCACCATTCATACATTCACACACAGGGGGTTATGTCTTAAAGGAGAGGGAAGAGTAGGACATGGGTAAAAGGAAAATAAAGAGGGAATATACTGTGATAGAAAAGGTTTAAGCAGGAAGGGTGGTGACAGAATTGGGGAGACAGGGTGCATGGGGTGCATGGGGAAGTATTAACCAAACCAAGAGAGGATTAAAAAGCCACATTGAAACCTACCTTATTGTCCAAATAAACCATGTAAAAGAAAGATTGAGGGGAGTTAACCTGTCTGTTAGATTAATGCTGCTCTCAGAAGCAGTGGGTTGCTAAATAAAACTTCAGTCCCAGGAGTGGGATATCTCTGTAGAAATTGGTGATGACCCAGAGGCCTCCAAAAAATACAGACTCTTGTCAGTCCTATTAGTTGTCCACCAGAATTGAAGGATAAGACCGTAATGCTGATGACACCACACACCTCAGTTGCAAGATAGAAACATACTAAAATTGAGTGGGAAGCGTCTTTCTTGCTTCCTAGCTTTGAAAGTCCCAGAAGGTGTTATGCAGGCTGTTAGTGGGGAGAAAAGGCATCATTGGTCCTACCCAGCTGTGAACCCTATGAACAAACAAATAAACAAAACCAATCTGCTAGCCTAGATGTGCCCACCTGTGTAATAGTGGCACAGCAACTGTTATGGAGGTAGCCAACTGCCCTCTGATTGGATTTGAGGTCTCCTTCATGAGAGGGAAACTATACTTAGTGCTGTAAGCCTGGTTAACAACTCATGCCTGGGGATCTCAGGTGGGGGAACCAAATGGGGGAACTTACTACTATTGTTTAACTAAATTAACATAGTATTAAACTGCCTTCTAAATATGTACGTTAATACCCATAGAAAAGCTGTCCTGTTAGCCTCAATCAGAGAAGCCTCTCTTTATTTTGAACAGTGGTAAATGCAGAGACTCATTGATGTCCAACATGCTGAAAACAAGTGACAGCTGAAGGCTCAGACCTAAATGAGACATTTATATTACTCCTTCTAAGGCTCAGAGAATATTGTAGAAGAGGGGGTGGGAAGTCTATGAGAGCCAGAAGATAGGGTGAAAGGTAGTGAAACACCAGCCTCTACAACTCAGTACAGCCATTGTAATCATGAACTCACAAGTACTGCAGTTGCCTGCACTGGGCTGCCACAAGACAGGCACTATCAATAATCAATCATGGAAGGGGTAGGGACTCACAGAGCCATACATTTTGCTAAACTGCTGGCTATTAATAGCTTCTGTGAGAAGGGAAATCATTGTCTCTAGTTATGTGCTCTCTATGGTACCTACGTGGTTCCAACAGATAGCTTCAAACCCACAGTCACTTGGATGGTCTTGGTTATCTAGTGGACCACAAAACAAAACAAACAAACATGAACATGAGAAAGAGATTTGTAAAGAAGAGGGGTGGACATATGGTAACAGAGAGTTAGGAGAGGATTGGGGATGAAAGTGGACAGTATGTAAAAGGTACATGTGTGAAATTGTCAAATAACAAGTGTAATTAATAAAAAAGTTTTAACATAACAAATCTCCCAGGCAAAAAAATTAGAAATTTATTTCTTAAGCTTTACACATAAAAGTAGAAATTTTAGAAAATCAGAGCAGTAAGAATGATCAAAGAGGACTCTGCCAAAGAAATAATCAAACAAAATTCTCAGTGGAGAAAGACGTGACTTTTCATGGTGAAAAGATACCTTGAGTGAGTCACCAGCAATGTGAGTAAAAAGGTATTTCACAAGATCTCAAAAAGAAAAAAGAATTACCTTCTGTAATTTCATTATTTGGAAGCAAAAACATGTGAAATGTGTGCACAAGAGAGTAAATGAATACAGAGGAAAGCTTGGGAACTAGGAAAGAGGAACTTGAGAGAAAGGAAGGATAGCTAGGTTGGTGGAAATGAGAGAGAAGACAGATCACAAAGGACAACCACTGCACATTGGAGCAGGGGACAAGGTCAGCTTCACTGTTTTGTTCATTTCATTAATTTTTTCATCACTTTCTTCAAAAGTATAATTTCCTGACATCAGTAAAATACATAGAACACTAAGCAAAACGTAAGAAATGATTTTTAATTGTTGAGGGAAAAAAGATATTTTTCAAAAAGGAGAGGCTGTTGTGTATGTAACCCATACCACTTAAAAATATTTCTCCATGAGTCCAAGAAATAACTGGGAAAGAATGAATAATCTGTCCACCATGATGCAAACCTTACAAAGCTAGGAAGCTAATGCTTTTCATCTTCCATTAATTTGGCATCCAGTGTCCACAGATTTCATCCCATATCCACATTTAGAGTATAACCTGTAATAGTGAGTGCTATGTGGTCACTAAAACCATGAGAAGTAGCTTAAAACTAGGATTTAAGTTTCAAATGGACATACAATAGTTCTGGTACTACAGAGTTTACTAAAGAAATGTTATTATTTTGACCTTCATTTCAGATTTCTTAATTACTTAACCTTCTGAAAAAAAATGAGTGGGTTTTCTATTGATTTCCCACCTATTATTAAATTATGGTTATTCCCCCTTGACTGCATTGTGAGCTCACAGAGGACTTTTTTGCTTTAACCACCTTATTTTACCATCCAGTCTCAGCAATTTTCTCTTCATCCCATTCCAAAAGCTTTTGTAGACTCCTTTACATTCTGCTTTGCTTTTTAACAGTAATAGTTGATATACTAGATATAGATAGATAGATAATAGAAAATAGCTAATATTCCTAATATTTTACCATAAAAGAGAAAACAATTTGTTTCTCTTATGGCTTCATCGTCTTCTTATTTCTACTACTTAGTTCACATTTAAATCTATAAGTAAAGTCAGCATCCTGTGATTATCAAAAGTGCTTTCAAAATTGAAAATTCACTTACAAAATCATTAGCTAGCCTTATTTTTTTTCCATCCAAAAAGTTCTTATCGACCACAAAGGCCAGCATTTGGTTGTACACACTCAATTACTTCACTCTTCTTAGTCACACAGATATCAATAAACATATTTATTAAAAAGTAATGTTCCATCACGAGTTTTATGAACTGTGGGAATTCTTAAAATTCTACAAAAATAATTATTTCTTTATCACCTATGTTAAATGATTTATTCAGTAGTAACACTTTAAGAACATATAATCTATAAGAATGATTATTAACCCAATTTTACCAGTAGGGCATAGAATTACAGAAACTAAGCTGACTCAAGAGACTCTCTACTCTAGCATCTATCTATCTCCAAGAGTGACTGCATTTTAGCAATCCAAGAGATGCATCCTTTGTTTTTCAGAATGGGAAGATGTTATAACATACCTCGGCAATGTTTACTCATAATCCAAATCTACAGATCAAAGGAAATAAAACCCAGGCTTTCTACTGCCTCAATAGATGCTCTTTTACTGCTTATGGTTATAAAACAAGCATAAAAATAAATAGATGAAGAAATTGTTACTGCAATAAAAATTTCCAATAGCTAGTCAACCATTCACTTTTATTTCAAGAAATAACCAAGCTGAAATAGTTCAATACAGTGGAAGTATGTATGCAAAGTATGTACACCTATCTTCAGTTCATAATAAGTGTTTCCCACTAGTAAAAAATATTTTCTAGCCAGGCATGGTGATGCACACCTTTAATATCAGCTCTCGGGAGGCAGAGGCAGGCAGATCTTTGTGAGTTGAAAGCCAGCCTGGTCTACATAGTGAGTTCTAGGCCAGTTGAAGCTATAGGGAGACCTTGTCTCAAAAAAGATCAAAAAAATTTTTAAGTTTCTTATAGGTGTGTACTTATGAGTCCTAAAAATAAAAAATAGAAAACAGTAATTGGGATGGAGTCCATGATAACACCACAGCAAATCCTTGCAGTGACTCAGCCAAGCAGACACTATTGCTAGCCACTTTTGGGTAATGAAAATGAGGTCCAATGAAGCTCACTGTCTAAGATCTCATAACCAATGCATATCCAAGCCAGACGTTTTGGTTATGTTTCTCTGTCCCTTTAATACATTATTAATGAGTTTTAGTTACTACTGTTATTACTAGGACACTTAAGATTGATCAAGAAAATATTTGCCTATAAAAATGTCTTTTCAAATTCTCATTGGTTCATTTATATTTTTTAATATCAAACATGATCTGGGAAGAACAAAAAACCTTCTAAAAGATGTGTTTATATGACAAGTAATATTTCAAACTTTATTTTTATTAAAGTTTAGTTGATTGCTGCATAATTCTTCTCTGGACTATCCAGATTATTTTTACATTTATCTGAATATTTTAAACAGAATTTTAAATATTTCAGATTTTATTGTTTCAAGGAATAAAGATACTTATTCTAAATGAAAAGAAGTTTATTTGATATTTGAGGTTGTTAGACTGGTTTCAATATAAATATCTTATAAAATATTGAGCCAACTAGAAAGTTGTCCCTACTGTAAATATGGCTATTTGTTGGGTAAATGGCCAACTGTGTTGTTCAAATAAATATCACTGTTTTTTTTAAGACAATTCATGTTATTAGTGCTATTAGCACATTTCTAAACAGGTTAATCTTTTAGTTAATATGAAAACTCTTCTTAAAATTTGTGTTTATCATTTGCCATGGTTATTTAGATGGAAAACCAATACACTTCAAAAGTCACAGACTTCAAAATGTGATTCATATTTCAATACTTAATGCAAAGTTACCTTCCTCATTGTCTCCTTTCCCACTGTGATTTCATGCCCATTCTGCCCCATGCCATTCTTGAAGAACAGAATTTGGACTGAGATCTTCTGAGTAAGTTTCTTCATCCTCCTGGAAAGCACAGGCTTTGTTTTCTGTCTTTAGACATCAGCAGGGAGCATCAACCCATTCAATGTCCAAGTCACTTCCTTCATTAACAACAGATGGTCTAGAAGATAATTTTTAAAACTCAAGTCAGTATTTGGCATCAGAATTTAAAAATGGACACATCATGTTTCCCTTCCCCCTATTTCCCATATCATATACACTGGCCAGTCTCCATTCAGCTGCTGGTTTTCTGAAATGCTACCTCCAGCTTCCCACTAACCGTGACATAAGCTGTAGCAAGCTGTCTGCTCTGATCGTCTGCATAAATCATCATTTCTGAAGGGAACAGATGTTCAGGGTATGAAAGAGTAATACCACAATTTAGTCCTAATTAAAATTCACCTTAGCATGCCTCGATCACTGATCATATGCACCCGGTTTAAAGGGGCCATTGAAAGGGTCCAATGTCCTTTGCTTACTGTAAAACAACATGGGATGTGAACTTTTGTGTTCTTCTCCTTCGGGAAAACACTCCTTTTCCTCTCTAATACATTTTCTTGCCTATGTTGTTTTAAAGATGATAACCTCCAAATAGCGACCTTCCACTGTAGCTCTCACATAACCAGCTTGAAGGTGCTTTCTGGGATATCTGGTGAGACACTCAAACTATTTCACTGAAAATGAAAAACAGCTTTTCATTAACAGTTCACTTTGGCCTGTGCAATTTCAAAGAGGTGTATAAGGATTCAAGTTTCAAACTACCACTAATATTATTGGGAATACAACTAAATTACTATGTAAGACGGAACATATAAGGGTAAAAACGGGAGTGTAGTGTATCACATACTAAGTTGCTGTCAGCCTTCCTTTCTGAGGTTTCATAAATAAAAAAATTAATTTTCACCTGAATTACTTATTTCATTTGTGTGTTCAATTTCTTATTGAATCATATTTTTTATTTATTTTAATTTTAGGTTTATGAGTGTTTTTGAATGCATGTATGTAACTGCACTACATGCATTCCTGATGACCACAGAATTCAGAAGGAGGCATTGTGATCTCCTGGAAGTGGAGCTACTGATGAGTGTTAGCCACTACATGGGTAGCTTCTATGTAGGTGCCGGGAACTGAACCTGGGTCTTCTGCAAGAGCAACCAGTGCTCTTAACTACTGAACAATTTCTCCAGCCCCTAGAGACAGTTTCCTTTGTAGCCCCAGCAGGCCTGTAACTTGTTATGGAGACCAGGCTGGACTTGATCTCACAGAGATCCACCTGCCTCTGCCTCTCAAGTGCTAGGATTAAAGGCTAACACCACCACACCTGACTAGATCATATATTTTAAAACTACAAATTACATAGAAAGACAATCATCCTTCCTTCGTGTCTCTTACTTGTTCTAATGAGAGAAATATAATTCCCTTCACACACAATTGAAAATGGCTACATTTACTTGTTTGCTCAAATTCTAAATAGTCCTTCTCCATTAACACCCTTTTGGAGGAAATGTGATCTCTTTTACCTAGAAATGATATTTCACACAAAACCTACTGATATTGATGTGAAACATAATTCTTGGTTGTTAATAGCCTCCCAGTCTCAAAAGGGCTATATTTTTAAAAGATTTATTTATTTATTATTTTTATTTTGTGTGTATGAGTGTCTTGCCTACATGTGTATAAGTGTACCCATGTCATGGAATGCCCATGGAGGCCAAAAGAGAGCACTGGATTGCCCTAGAACCGGAGTTACAGATGGTTGTTAGCCACCATGTGAGTGCTGGGAATCAAACCTGGGCCCCCTGCAAGAGCACCCAGTGCTCTTAACCACAGAGCCATCTTTCCAGCCCTAGAAAGGATTTTAAACACTTCTCTGTTTCTCTGTCTCTTTGTATGTATATCTGTCTCTGTATCTGTCTCTGTTTCTCTGTCTCTGTGTCTGTCTTTCCTTTCTCATACCTCTCTGTCCCCTTCCCTCTCTCCCCTACCATTCCTTTTTTCTTTCCTCCTCCCTCCTCACACACACCCCAAAACACACACACACACACACACACACACACACACACACACAAATATATAGTGAAATATGAGCAAAAATTTCCAAAATTTTCCAGATAAATTACAAGATTATTAAAATGAGATTTTAGTTTTCTTTATTTTTATTTTTATGTGTATGTGTGTATTGCCTGCATGTAGGTAAGTGCACCCATGTCGTGCAATGCCTGCAGAAGACAGAAGAGGCTGTCGGATCCCCTGGAACTGGAGTTATGGACAGCTGTTAGCTGCCATGTGGGTGCTGGGATTCGAACCCGGGTCTTCTACAAGAACAGTCAGTACTCTTAAACACTGAGCCATCTCGCCAGCCCCCGAGATTTTAGTTTTCAAAGAGAAAAATATTTGTGTCACATTCTTCAGTGATGCAGCCACTGCTGAGAGGCCCATGCACCATAAATAGCTGCCCACACCCATGCAGGCAACCTTACTCAAACTCTGTGGGTCACAGAAACACACATAAAAGTAGGAGGGGAACTGGTTGGGAAGAAGAGTTTCAGCACGTGAGAAAAAGGGAATGACAGAGGGTGACGGTGTAAGATGACCAAAAATTATTATTATGCATGCACAAAACCTATCAAAGACTACAAAATTAAAACATTTTAATATAAACTAGTTATTTTATTTTTCATTTTGTAATCTGAAGCTGTTAAGAATTAGAATTATAAAAGTGACCTTTAAAATACTGGGCTCATTTATATACAAAAGAATGGAAATGAGCATGCCAACAAGTACTGTAGTTTATGCTCATCACAGCACTACTGACATTAGTGAAAAGGTGGAATCTAATACATATCAAGGAATGAATGGATAAAAAAAAACTGTGGTATGTACATATGATGGAATATTATCCAACCATAAAAAGGAAGGAAATACTGATATATGTTACAAAGAAGATAGACCTCAAAACATTATGCTAAGTAAAAGAGGCCAAATATAAAGTGATACATGACTTTATGTATATGAAATATTGAGGATAGGGGAACTCATAGACAGACAGCATGAGTTACCTGGAGCTGAGAAGAAAAGTGCATAGAAAGAAACTTAATGGGCATGGGAATTTGTTTTGGAAAGACAGAAATGTTTTGGAACTGGACAGAACTTTTTTATTTATGTGTATAAATGTGTTGCCTGCAGGTAGATAGGAGCACCTGTGTCATGCAGTGCCCACAGAGGTCAGAAGAGGGAGTCAGATCCCCTATAAGTGTAGTTACGGGCAGTCCTTAGCCACTATGTGGGTGCTGGGAATCAAACCTGGGTCCACTGCAAGAACAGCCAGTACTCTTAACTGGTGAACCATCTCTCCAGCTCCTAAAATGATTAATATTATGTTAATTTTCCCTCAGTAAATAAAGAGTAAGAACTCTAATAGTATGCCTCTGAAAATTAAGAGTACATCTCTCAATAGAAGAAAATGAATTCTAGTAGTTTAAAGATTGTTCTCCTGCAATTTGCATGCTTCCAGATGTTTTGCACAGTAGGAAAACACATAAAATCTACATTCAGACTTGGTCTGAATCCCAGCTCTGCACAAACATGAGGAACTGAGCTCAGTCCTCAATGGAAAAAGAAAACTAGCTGCAACAGGTGTATGCTTATAATCCCCCAAACTGGGGAGGTACAGACAGCAGGATCCCAGGGGCTTGCTGGTCATCCGATCTAGCTGAATTGGTGAGCTCCAAGGTTAGGTGAGGGATGCTGTCTCAAAAAATAATGTGGAGAGCAATTGGGAAATATACTTAACATCACCATCTGACCTCCACATTCATTAGCACACATGTATGCACACAGTATCTAACACATCAAAGTCACTCGATAACTGTTCACTTCTCCTACCTCCCAGAGTTCTAGATTAAATCAATTGTTACATCAGAGTCTATCCAAAGTCCACTCTATCTGAACAGCGGAGACAGTAAGGAACTGTAAGTAAGGACAGTAAGGAAAGATTGAGGTATTATCAAGGATGGTGTGCTAAGCCGGAGACTAATCAGCAGTGGTAAGATCTGTTCCCATCAAAGGTCAGAGAAAAGAGGTATTACATCCGGACGTAGAAACTCATCTGTATAAAGGGGTTTCCTTTTGCTTACTTTAGCCATGGCCACTACTAGGATGAGGCAAGTAAGGACCAATAAGGCAAAATTCCACATAATATGTCCAGGGTCCTCATACAACCTCCCCAAGTGAGTGCCTCCTCAGAGTCTGCCCATAGGCAATTCACTTCTATAGTCTTAGTCCAGCCTGGCACTACCTATCCTCCATACTCAGAACTTATTAGATCGTAACACGTAGTACTCCTAAAAATAAGTCTTATCATTATCCAGATACTGTTATGAATGTAGCTATTAACTATTTCAATTCTTGATGTCTTATGGCATAAGTAATACTATCATTCTCATTTATAATTAAAGAAACTGAGGAAAAAAAGCTGTTGAGTACCTTGCCCAAGATCTTGCCACCCATAGTTGTTTCTCTGTTTCTCTGTCTTTCTGTCAGTTTGAGGGTGAACTCTCCCAGAAAGCCTTTTCCATCCTGGATACCCCTCTTAGCCCTTTGAGAAGACCTTCACTGTGGAAGTTACTCTATCATACTAAAGTTGTGTGCCTACTTGGCTAAACACTGTATACTTGATGCCTAGACTAGGTGCTCATGAGTAATTAGAAAATTAAAGTATAAAATGGCCCTTTTATTCCAATAAAGTAAATACCAATGAAAATAATGCAGTCATAATTCAGCCTAAGAATATCTAGAGACCTCCTTACTTAAAAATATGTCATCTAAATTACAAACATCTTAAGTTCCAAATAGATTTCTGAAGGAATTCTACATTTTACTATATTAAATTTTAAAATATCACTTACAAATTATATATATATTAAACATATTCCTACTTTCTAGATTTCTGTTGATATTGATAAACACAGGAAAATCCTCTAAGTGCTAGGATTGAGCTCTATGTGAAGTTCAATCCTGATGATCTTCATCAAGAACTAAGCTTTTGGTTTTGTTTTATTTTTTCTTAAGACGGTCTTGCTATGTGGCCTTGGCTGAGATAGAACACACTATGTAGATTAG